TTCTGATCACATTTCGTCCGTTGTCTGTCGTTGTTATTGTAATGGTAAACTTTTCACATTTTCATCTTCTTCTCGAGCATCACTGAGCCAATTTCAACCAAACTTGGTACAGGGTGGCTTTCACACATTTCTGCTCTGAATTTTTTGGATCAAAAATGTAATATTTTTCATTTTCATGTGAAATGGTATAAATCGTGATTTTATACAGAAAATTGGAGAAAACATGCTTAAATCTGTGTCTAAGTACCTTTAATAAAAAATACAAAAGATAAATTGTCTTGCTCACCACAAAGAAGTCTATGCCAAAACTCTGAACTTAAATGCCTATAGCTTCAGATATGTACGAATTATATTCAATTTGTAAATTAAGTATTTTTAAGAGTAAAGTTCTCATTATTGAAATTAAATGAAACAAAACTTCCTGCAAAAAAAAAAAAAATAAATAAAAATAAAAAAAAAAAAAAAAAATAAATAAATAAATAAAAAATATAAAAAATGTAAAAATTCTTTATTAAAAAAAAAAATCTCTACGCTACACAACTCCTCATGAATGATGGCTTTAAATCATGCTTTTGATATGACTCTTGACTAAATGGACTTCACGTATTTCTTGGAAGGATGGGAATGTTTTGTCAAAAAGTGTATTTTAAGGTAAAATGGGCTTTGCTCAATGTTTTTGTTTCCCTAAAAATGAATATTTTTAAAACAAACTAAGGTTTAATGAAAAAATTTAAAAAATGGAGCGAAGACCCACTCCTGTCGAAAAATTTAGTATGAGAAAACGATCTTTTTGCCCTCTTTAGTGTGTGAAAACTATTACATAGATAAATAATTTCAATCTTATGAGATTTTTGCAAATTTTACATAAAGTATAATTTAATGTTAGATGAAACAGCAAAGAAAATGTTAATATAGTCGAAAATTGATTTTTCATCTTTATTTGTTGCACTAAAGGCATTTTCGATTGCTTTAGTCATGTTAGTTCACCCATCTTCTTTCTGTGCCTGTGTCATTGTTAAGGTCATACGCAACGTAATTTGAACTCTATTGGGCTCTTCCCTGTAGTTGTTCAACGAGTTCCACTAAAAGAAGGAACTGTGTGCAATACTTTTAATGTCTATGTCATAGGTGCTTGGTTTCAGGATGGTGTATTTTGTGTATGATGTGTTTTTTCTAGGTGTGTCTGAATACCCTCATCAAAATAAAAATAAAAATTAGCTGAAATTAGCACGTTTTAAAAATGTCATATTTACTGTATATATAAGCTCTTTTTATATACAGTAAATATGACATTTTGAAAACGTGCTAATTTCAGCTAATTTTTATTTCTATTTTGATGAGGGTATTCAGACACACCTAGAAAAACACATCATACACAAAAAACACCATCCTGAAACCAAGCGCCTATGGTCTATGTATGGCTTTGTACACTTCTTCTAAAACAAATTCTGATAGAAAGAAATCTGGAATTTATATTTTGTAATTTTTGTAAATTTTTCTTTGAATAATGCAAATTTTTTCATAATTTGATATCTGTTCAAAACCCCTGGCAATGTATGTTGATTTTTTGTCTATGAACATGAAATGGTATTATAATTTTTAATTTAGAATATCTTGAAAAATTATCAGTAGAAAAGGTACACTGCGTATGTCTTTAATGCTTCACAAAGCACAACAACATATGTTTCTGAAAAACTAACGCCCCCGTATGGCAGCTTTTGACAAAGATTAAAGCTTCTCAAATCAAAGTCAAACTCCAAGGTCAGGAAATAAAAAAAAATGTTATCCAAAGAAAAGACTTGTCTCAACAAGAGGCCCATGGGCCACATCGCTCACCTGAGCACTGTGGCTAGGAAAAAGTAGAAATTGGTTTATTATTGAAAAGTTTAAATCAAAAAGTAGTCCCATGACCAATCATGACTTTGCTATTCTTGAGAAGAAGATTTTTAAAGAATTTTCCTATATATTTCTATGTAAAACTTTGGTCGGCCATTTTGGCCCCGCCCTACCCCGGGGGGGGGGGGGGGTCATGATTTGAACAAATTTGAATCTACACTACCCAAGGATGCTTCCATATAAGTTCCAGCAATTATGGCTTTGTCATTCTTGAGAGGAAGATTTTTAAAGAATTTTCCTATATATTTCTATGTAAAATTTTGGTCGGCCATTTTGGCCCAATTCTTGCCCCGGGGGTCATGATATGAACAAACTTGAATCTACACTACCTTAGGATGCTTCCATATAAATATAATCAATTATGGCTTTGCTATTCTTGAGAAGAAGATTTTCAAAGAATTTTCCTATATATTTCTATGTAAAACTTTGGTCGGCCATTGTGGCCCCGCCCTACCCCGGGGGGTCATGATTTGAAAAAATTTGAATCTACACTACCTTAGGATGCTTCCATATAAATATGATCAATTATGGCTTTGCTATTCTTGAGAAGATTGATTGATTGTATACTGTTTAACGTCCCTCTCCAGAATATTTCACTGATATGGAGACGTCACCATTGCCGGTGAAGGGCTGCAAATTTTGGCCTATGCTCGGCACTTACGGTCGTTGAGCAGGGAGGGTTCTTTTTATCGTGCGAAGAAGATTTTTAAAGAATTTTCCTATATATTTCTATGTAAAACTTTGGTCAGCCATTTTGGCCCCGCCCTACCCCCGGGGTCATGATTTGAACAAAATTGAATCTACACTACCTGAGGATGCTTCCACATGAGTTTCATCTTTCCTGGCCCAGTGGTTCTGGAGAAGAAGATTTTTAAAAGATACCATTAATTTTTTATTAATACATAATTATCTCCCCTTGGAAGAGGGCTTGGCCCTTCATTTGAACAAACTTGAATCCCCTTTACCCAAGGATGATTTGTAGCAAGTTTGGTTAAAATTGGCCCAGTGGTTCTTGAAAAGAAGTCGAAAATGTGAAAAGTTTACAGACAGACGGACGGACAGACGGACTACAGACAAAATGTGATCAGAAAAGCTCACTTGAGCTTTCAGCTCAGGTGAGCTAATAAATATACCTGTGAAAATATAAAAGCCCAAGCACCAACGATTCAAACTTTTTTGCAATATTAATTTTTTTTTTGAAATATGGATCAAACGCCAATGTCAAGGTCAAATTAATAGTACCCAGGGGAAGGTCGTAAATATGAAAGCCCTAATAGTATTAACTGTTCAAAAATCAGAGCCATTGAAGGTTAATTTTCTTAAAGTGGGTAAAATTCAAAGGTCAACGTCAAAAACATTTACATGTAGTCTTCTTACAGAAAATACTAATGTGAAAAGTATGAAAGTCCCAGCACCAACTGTTCAGAAGTTATGGCCAAGATTAAAGTTTGATTTTTTTTTGCACAAGTGGGTCAAACTCTTAAGGTCAAATAGTTCATAACCCCCATCCCCCACCCCCAGGCCTTTTTACATGTGAAATATGAAAGCATTGCTCCAATCAATATAAATTTATGGGCATGGATAGACAGATAGATATACGGACAGGGCAAAAACTACATATCCCCGAATCCTTGATTTCGGGGGCGTATAAAATGAAACTTATATTGTAATATGGGTATAATCATATTGTCAAAATTCAGCTGATAAGCCAATCTTTACAATTTACTTTTTTAAGTAAACTGAACATATATAGCTCATATTAACTAACATTTTAAGATAAGTAAACAAATTCATATACAACATATAATTAAAGTTATCATCATACTATTGTTATTGTCAGTTTTAGGTTTTATAAAGACAACAACCTTTGCTTTAAACACATCAACTATATATAAATTCCAAGTGTACATCAAGAGCATTGCCTTTTATAAAGCAACTTGTAACTGAGGCGCTGATTCTGTCAAAATCATAGGGAGCGCCTATGGTCAAAATTACTACATGTATATACCATGGCATCGGTATATAGATTATAGTAATATGTATCGTTTCAAATATTAATATTTGTTTACCTCTTTTGTACTAATTGAAAAAACAAATGTACATGTTAAACAATAACTTGTCCTAGTAATAAATCGACAAGGTCACTCAGAAACATTGAAAACAGGACAGGTGATAAGTTCTCACCTTTACGTACGTCCACATTAACAGTTTAAGTTAACAAGCAATATAAAATTGAAAGAATTGCCATCACCGTATTCCATCTTTCTGTCCATCTGTCTGTTACGCTTTGGGGTACCTATCTCTTATCCGCAACTCCTCCTTTACCACTGAATGAAATTTGATGAGACTTTCACAGAATCTTTGTTATACATGTATATTGCCATTGTGCACCTCCTATTTTACTTTTTTGATCGAACACATATTTTGGGTTTTCCAGAGCAAACACTGCCTTTTTTTCCATAATATTGAAGGGTACCCATCTCTTATCCATAACTCCTCCTATACCACAAAATAGAATTTAATGATACTTTCATAGATTCTTTATTACATGATGTCATTGTGCACCTCCTATTTTATTTTTTGATCGGACGCTTATTTGGGGTCTCCAAGAGCAAAACATGGACTTTGCCATTATAATCATATGGGAAGCGTGGGTATCATTTAGGGAGCTCGTTGCTCACAGTGCCTCTAGTTTTATTCGTTATTGTGATATACTAGTAACTGTGTTTGTAAAATACCCGTATGGCAGCTGTTTGTGCAAGTCTAATTCCGAGGTCAAGGTCAAAAGTTTGTTGAATAAACTTGTGAAATGAAAGCCAAAGCTCCAGCCCATCAGTAGAAATGGGCAAGATTAAAGTTTTGGCGGACAAACAAACTAAAAGGTTAAAACAATGTACCCCGAATCTTTGATTACAGTACACAAAAATAATAATTTAATGTAATTAAAAAATAATAAATAAATAAAGAATAATAATGTACATCAGTAGCTAAATATTTTTAATTTAGTTTAGGACCTGATCTCTACTAACAGACTCATATAAACCCCCAAAAGACAAACGTGAAATGGTAACACTGAACTGTCTGGTAGACATAGGGGAGTCAATTGTTCTCACTTTGAATGTGAAGCACTTTCAAAACATTCGAAAGAGAATTAAAGAAAACCATAGCAGGTACGGAGTGGCACCAAATTTACAAGTTTGACATTTAATGTAAAATTATCAAGTGTGATCGACTGTCTGTATATTAAACAAATACAAAAAATCACTTTTAAACTGTCTTTTGAAAGTCATATTTAATTTTTCGCTGTTTGAGCACCATCATGCTGTGGTCAGTGAGAAGGGACTAAATGTCCGAGCACTAGTCGCTGGAAACCCCATTAAGTTCCGCCAGGCGAGCGTGATAGGCCATGATACTGGCGTAGATCCCGACGTTATAACGGTAGGCATTCAGAATGTATGGAGACATCAAGACGTTCTTAGAGGTCGATCCCGACGAGAAAGCCAGGTCACAACTAAGTTCTTCTGAAAGATAAATTAATAATATTATTGAAATATTTACCGCTATCTTTGCTTGAGCTATTTTTAGATTACAGCTATTTTGCCAGAGTGTCAGATTTGCTAGAGGTAGTATTAGATTACCCCTGTCTATACTAGAGTAAGATTTACCGCTATCTTTGCTAGAGCTATTGTTATATTCACCGCTATTTTGCTAGAGCTAGTAAAAGATTTACAGCTATCTTTGCTTGAGCTATTTTTAGATTACAGCTATTTTGCCAGAGTGTCAGATTTGCTAGAGGTATTGTTAGATTTACCTCTGTCTATGCTAGAGTAAGATTTACTGCTATCTTTGCTAAAGTTGATGTTAGATTTACCTCTATCTTTGCTAGAGCTAGTATTAGATTTACCGCTATCTTTGCTTGAGCTATTTTTAGATTACAGCTATATTTGCTAGAGTTAGTGTTTGATTTACCGCTATCTTTGCTAGAATTACATTTATATTTATCGCTATTTTGATAGAGTTTGTGCAAAATTTATCGCTATCCTTGCTAGAGTTGATGTTAGATTTACCTCTATCTTTGCTAGAGCTAGTATTAGATTTACTGCTATCTTTGCTTGAGCTATTTTTGCTAGAGCTAGCATAAGATTTACCGCAATCCTTGCTTAATTTATTTTAAGATTACAGCTACTTTTACTGGAGTTAGTGTTAGATTTACCGCTATCTTTGCTAGAGTTAGGTTTATATTTTTTGCTGGAGTTAGTGTTAGATTTACCGCTATCTTTGCCAGAGCCAGTGTTCTGATTGGTCCATGGGAAGATGGCGCGGGATTCCGCCAATCGTCTGCATTTCTCTTCACTGACCTCATCTCCCTCTATAAAAAAGGAAAAAAAAATCTTTTCACCTTAACAGATTAACATTTAAAGTTTACTCATTTCGTAATCCTGTTTACACTTGCCTTGTCCGTGCGAGTCGTCTGCTTTCCCGTCTTTCTCCGAAGACTTTCTTCTGGGTCGTTTGTATCTGAAAAAAGTCGAATGATGACAAGGAACTAGATGTATATTAGCTAAATTTTATTGCTTGAACGTAATGATAGCACTCTGATTAGGATAATGTCAAGAGAGTCATCACCACAGATCCATGAAACATATAATTTCAAAGACAGAACATTCCATCTAGAGCAATTCGCTCCCTAAGTTTTATATTGCAAGAGCGACAGCGAGCAAATCTGAGCGAGCGCAAAAACGGGGGAAAAATCATAGGAGCGAGTAGTATATAAATAGTGCATATATAGTTAAGTGTGCGCCTCGGTTACATTGTCGATATCAAGTAATGCTTATTAGACTACCAAAATAGGGAAAGAGGTGTGTCGACCCCAGATTTAAAAAGAAACTAGAAATATGTCCATAGGACATGAATGCCCCGCCGAGGGTATATTAGTAATGCAACATGAAAATTTGTATTAGTGTAAGAAATTTGATCAGAATATCTTGAATAGTGATGCAATTGAATTGCTTACATCAGTATGTATCAGCTTATGAAGTTTGACACTAATTTAGGAAAAGTGAGGTCAATGTCAAAGCAAAGGTCAAGGTCAAAAATGTTGATGCAGTTGCATATCTCTAATCAATATGTATCAACACATGAAGTTTGATAAAATATCTAGAATGATTTCTTTAATCAAAACTGACTTAAACACAATTTGATAAAAGTGAGGTTAAGGTCAAAAATGTTGATGCAGTTGAATTCCTTACATCAGTATGTATATATCAGCATATGAAGTTTGACACTGATTTAGGAAAAGTGAGGTCAAAGTCAAAGGAAAGGTCAAGGTCAAAAATGTTGGTTTGTGGGTAGATAACGGTGGGTAGCTTGCGTAACGAAAGTTATGCACATTATTTTTAGATAATATGAATCAATGACCGTGACTGAGTCATGCAGTAGAGCGTTTGCTCCGTTATAGGAAGATCGTGTGTACGAACCACGACTGTGATAGACCTAAGTCCAGGCACGTAGCATCGTTTTTGAAAGTGGGGGGGGGGGGGCAACCAGAGAATTTTTTTACTTACCTGTAAAAGTTGACAAGCAAAAAAAAAAAGGGGGGGATTGCCCAAAGTCGAAAATCCTATTTCAAAGGGGGGGGCCAACTTTTTTCAATGCCAACTTTCTGTCACTTCCAATTTTTTTTCCATACAATACTACATTTCCTTGATATCACTTTACTGTGGTAAGAAGTGAGGGGGGGGGGACCAGCCTTTCAATGAACATTTTCAATAGTAAAGGTAATGTTGGGGAAAAAAGGGGGGCTGGCATAGAGTACGCTAATTTTATTCTTATACAAAAACATATTGTCACAGTAACATATTGCATAGTAGTAGATTAGCTCGCCTTCAGCTGTATATAATGATGTCTGGTGTTTGTCGCACTGAAAATATCTCGAATGGAACGTAAAACAATATATTCAATCAATCAATCAATCAATCAATCAATCAATCAATCAATCATATATGAACTTAATCTCGGTGGAGATTCGGCTGGGCTTGATATTTGATCTGAGGCCCAAATATCTAGCCCAGCCGAATTTCCACCGAGATTATTATGAACTCGGAAGTCAACACGTTTATTTACACACTCAAGAGAGAAAATATTTCTGTGAATACTCAGTAATCTATATTACTGCCAAATTTTATTCCGAATTCCGTATATATATGCTGAAAGCAATTCTTATCCAGAGAGCAAATTAACAGACCAAGAAATGATTATGGGTATGAAATAATACAGGGCAGAATTGATCGTCATTAAAAATGTCATCCCTTTTACTCAGAATTCAACGACCTTGAAATGATTATGATGTAATTTATCCCTATTGCAAAGATATAAATGACCCTGAAATGAGAATGATGCGAATTTATCCCGGAGTGCAGAGTTAAAAAAGACCTGAAATGCTTCTTTGTTGTTCAAGTACCTTCGAGAATATTTAACTCATATTGAGACGCCATCACTTGCCGGTAGAGGGATTTAGACACCTTTGGCCTTGGCAGTGAGTGATCTTTTTCGTGCCAGCAAGTATTGCAGCATGGGACCTCGGTTAAACGGACCGGTCTCCACTACCGGCAGTGGGATTCTAACCCGAAACGGGTTAAGGATTAAGGATCAACCTCTTACTCTAGAGCAAACGCTCTAACCACTGCGCTTCGTTGGCAAACGCTCTAACCACTGCGTTTCGCGGGCGATTGATCTAAAGATCGCTATGGTATAAAATAACACTGCGAAAAAAATCAAACGACATCGAAAAGTCACCCTACTGCTCAGAATTCAAAGACCTTGAAATCGCCTTCATCCCCACTGCGCAGAATTAACCGACCTTGCTTTGTCTCCTCGGAAGGCTTTGGCGAAAGGATTGTTAAGGATTTTAAGATGAGTGATCTTGCTGTTTTGATAGGCCGTCACTGCGATGAAATTTGTCTCTTGCAGCAAAAACGACACACATTTCTTCACCTCCGTTGTGGTTTGTCGCTTCAGTATCGTAATCTTGATGACATATTTATGCATAGAATGAAGAAAAATCTACAATGAAAAAAAAGGTATAAAGAACAAAAATTGATCTTTACAGAAAATCAGAAACAATATAAATATGTCACAGAGCATAAAACACGGGCTTTTGGAACGGGATCAAATGCTATGGAAAAGAAAACATCCCCTTCCGACCGGTCACATCCGCCATGAACCCTGATATTGGTCATGTAGACGGAACAGTTGATGGGGACTTGGTAGATAATATATATACCGGATCGACAATATATCTTTTATTAAAACGAATTTCAAGAAATTTAGAAATCCAGTATGGCTAGGGAAATTTAAAAAAAAAGTTGGATTTCCAGGCGTTTTAGAATTAAAGAATTTTTTAAAACACAATTATAAAATGTGTCCGCTTTGTAGCGTAAAAATTAACAACTTTTTATTAAAACAAGGAAGTATCACTCAATTCAGTTGAATGAAAACGTGGAGCTAAGACCCAAATATGGGAAAATAATAAACTGTGAACGCCGTATTTCACCTACGTTTATGTTTTTGTGTAATGTCAAGCATTTCCCTTAAAAACCAGGATCCGTCTCCTTTTTGGATCAATAACAGTGCTGCGTACATTTTCATCATCTTTGGCCATTTTACACCTACATTTTACCCTAATTATCATGTCAGATAATTGCGTATTGCTTTAATGCTGACGGCATGTTAAGGTTTATTTATATGTAAGGTGTTAAATGCTAGCTGTTAGCACGTTCTATGAGTACATCCCAAGCAGTAGATATATATACGTCTGCAATCGTTCCTTGGAAGATGGTTAATACATAGACCTTTGACAAGTAAAGTTTTAACGTAGAATGTTGGAGTAATATTAAAACTTAAACAAACACAGAGCAAAGAAACAAGAAACAACTACCAAAAGGCATATGCAGGTAAATTATAGAATGCAATGGATGTCAGTTTTGTTCCAAACCGCAAGTCCCAAAACAACGTCATTTTAGTTTATTTATTATAAATTAAGCACCTAGGTTTCAGGTGTTTATGCTAAAGTATCATAAGGTTTAGAAATGTACAAACCAATCACATGTTTAAAGTACAACAATCTAATGTTAATATATCTATAAAAGTAGGACATAATTCATATTTGTCAAGTTAGTCTTCGGAGAGACAGAAAGAATAAAGGCTTAACATTTTACTGTATATGAGTATGCAAATTTAAATATCAAAATCATAACAAGAATCGAAATTACTTCTTTACGTTGTTCACATTTATTTTATACTGCCTGGTAGAGGATAAATCCTTCCTTGTAGAAAAATCAGCCCACTGTCCAATAATTGTATCCTTTGGCAAAACAAGTCCATTCATTACATTCTCAGATGAAACAAGGTCGTTGTCAAAATACATTATCGGGTGAAAAAAAACCTTGTCTGATTATATTTTCTGGAGAGGCAATTAACCATACTTACACTGAGCTAAGGCTATTGTCTACATTGCTTTCATCAAGTCATTGTCTACTTTGCTTACATCAAGTCAATATTTACTTTGCTTACACCAAGCCATTAGCCTGCATTGCTTAGAACAAGCCATTGTACAAGTCATTGTCTACTTTGCTTACATCAAGTCAATATTTACTTTGCTTACACCAAGCCATTAGCCTGCATTGCTTAGAACAAGCCACTGTTCAAGTCATTGTCTAATTTGCTTTGAGAAAGCCATTGTCTACTTTGCTTAAAGTAAGTCATTGTCTACTTTCCTAACTTCAAATCATTGTCTACTTTACTTACACCGAGCCGTTGTCTACGTACCTCAAACCCTGGTCTACTTACACCAATCAATTTTCTAATTCCGCCAAACAAACCCTGTCTACTTACACCAATCCAGACTACTTGCAAGCCACTGTCGACTAAACCCAGGCTACTGTGTCTACTTACACCAATCCACTGTCGAATTCCGCCAAACAAACCCTTATCTACTTACACCAATTCATTGACTAATTCCGCCAAACAACCACTGTCTACTTACGTTCTCTGGAGAGGATTCTAAGCTGTTGGTCAGTTTCACTCTAGCGAACGATATTTTTCTGGTCATCCACAGCGCCCCCGGACTGGGGGAGTCGGGGTGTACATACGAGGAGTTCTCCTGCTGGGGTTCCGCCACGCCCACCGGGACCCAGGCGTCGTTAAAGAACTTAAACCTCCGTTTGTCTGCCGGAAGGACGTCCAGTAAAATGTCGTATATCCCGTCCGACTTCAGGCCGGATACGGAAATGTAGAGGTAAGGGAACATTCTCCTGGAAGATTAGAAACTTAAGTTATAAACCGCGTATAGTGATGGACTTCGCTAGCATATGATTGAATTAAAGATTACGTTTTGGCTTCCAACTAGAACATATTCCAAGAGAGAGAAAAAAATGGTTATTCAAAATGATCTTTTTAAAATAAAATAAATTTGATTCTGTATACAAGTTCGTACACTGTATATTTAAAAATTGCAAGGCACTGTTACAACGCACTTCGAAAACTTGGGACCAAATCAACGCACTTTGAAGTATTAATTTCTTTTCAATGTGCGTTAATATTGACCATATTGATTTTTTTTTCAATAAAGTATTAATTATAGATACGATTAGACAGTTACTAATGATTTGCTGAATATGGTTTTGTTATATGATATTTTCTATATGTACACAAAAACAAGGCACGATCCTTGTTTACATTACATTATGTAGATTTTTAATTTCTGGATCTCCTTTGTAAATCAACAAATGATGTTCAGTTTTTTTGGCTGATCATTTGAAAAGCCTCAATCAGGAACTATTAAAATTGTCTTTGAAAATAAACAGTAGAAATTGTGTCCGTGTCCCTTTAAGACATATTCTTGAATTTTCAGTTCATTGGGCCTTTGGATCGCTTTAAAAAAAAATTGTGTGTAAAAAAAAAATTAACACCTCATTTTTTTTTTCTTAGCGATCTAAAGGCCTGTGGGAGAAAGTAATAAAAAAAGAAATAATTATGATATTAAATAACTAAATTATATATATGGCGAATATCTGGAACATCCTTGACATTTTAAAGTCAGTAGAATAAAAATTACTAATGGTAGATGTTTAAATATTACAGAATTATTAAAGAAATTTCAAAATATTGAACGAAACCTCAGATACCCTTGCTGAGACGTGGAATTTACTGGAATTTATCATGTTATCACGATATTATGATAACTATGTCACAACACAGACAAACAATATTACATGTACATGTAGTTCAACGGCTTATTGATCGACTTATTCTTGGCTTAAAATTTAATACACTAATAAAAAGTTTTATGCTGCATCGATGTAATCTTACAGCCTATATATAACTTTTTGATAAAAATGATTTCCATATTTACTGAATTATAAGATTTATCAAAATAACAATACATGTGCATTTTTTCTGAAAATCTCATTTTGAAAAAACAAGTGTGGGGAAATACAAGGCATGGATCGGGCACGGTAGCCTAGTGGTATAGCATTCGCTTCGTGATCCAAAGGAAAGGGTTATACATGTATATTCTCGTTCGCCGAACCGCGTCCAACCAAATCATAAGTAGCACTCATCGTCTCAAGCCGCAGTCCGGAGTATATAGCGCTCTCATAATGATTGATTGATTGTTGTTTAACGTCTTTCTCGAGAATTTTTCACTCATATGGAGACACCACCAGTTGACGTTGAAGAGCTGCAAGTTTTGTCCTATACTCAGCACTGAGGGTCATTGAGAAGGGAGGGATATTTTTCGTGCCAATACCTATTGCGACACGGGACCTCGGTTTATACGGTCTCATTTCCACGTCCCAAAGTGAGATTCGAACCCGCGACGTAAGGATCAACTCCTTACTTCGCGACTTTAGAGCAGACGCTCTAACCACTGCGGCACGCGGGCGACCTCTCATAATAAAGAATGGGAGAGGATCGTGCGTTTTGACCGTGGTCTGCGACGATGAGATAGCACTTTATTTCGCCAATCGTCCGGCATTAAGATGGAAGTTAAGGGTCTTCCTGTGTCACGGTAGGCATTAGTACGATGGAGAGTCCTCAATGCTTAATTTGACCTGGGGTGCCCAGTAAAAGTCTTAATTTAAAGCTCTTCGCCGGCATACGATAGCGTCTCCCTATGTTATTGAGCGAAAAATTCTGGACTGGGACGAAAAACAACATACATCAGAACAATCAACGAACAAGTGATGCAAATGTCTTCAAAAGTACAAATACTGTATTCATTTTGTGCATCTAGGAAGTTTTAGTACTAATTTCTTGTTAAATAACAAGTATTTTCCGTGGAAAATATTCTCTCGGCAAAACTATGTGGTATTCATTGGGAAATAAACTAAAGTAGGTCTTTGTTCCATGATTTTCATAACCGAAAAATGTATCTTTTTACGCATACTTTGCGTACAAATTTAAGCTTAAAAAATTTAAGGGGAAAAAATGAAGCGTAGATCACTTATAATAGGTGGGAAATTTTGTGTTACAGCATTAATAAAATATCGTCTGACATTGTCTTCTTTAATGTAAATTATTTGACAGAAGAATTTAATCTTGGTAAGATTGTTGCGAACTTAGAATTTGATGAAGAACACTTATTGTTAAATGAAATATCTAAGAAAATTGTGAACATAAAATAATTCACTTCCGTATTTTCGTACCATATGTTTTTTTTTTGCCTTGATCGCCATTGTATTTTAGTTAAAGGCCATTTCTGTCAAATTTTGTCCCGCATGGCAGGGTGAAATTGCTTGCTATTTTATTAGAAATTTTTTGATTTCTTTAATTTTTAAAATTATAAGATTAAAATGCGGGAAAATAACCTTAATTTAAATGTTTCCTTGTTTAAAAGTTGACTGAGGTGATAATATCCCTTAATGAAATAAATAAGCTAAATCTAAGAATAATCGCAATAACTGTTAATGAATGGCTAACATGGTAAATTTTACAGTTAAGGACAGACGAGACGTTCCTAAATAATATATAATTTTCTCCAAGATTTTGTCATTGAAGAATTAATACTTTAACATGTTTACTCACAAACATTTGAGGTACCTTACCAGGCATTTGTGCGAGATACCACAGGGTGGCATCTCTTATATAATCTTTTAGGGAAAAAAACTTAGTTTGTTAAAATCACATTTTTAGTGTTTCAAATTTTTAAAATCAATTAGAAACAAGTTTAGAAATGAGCAAATAATTAAAATTTTGTATATTTTTCATATATTATGAAGACATACAAAACAGATATTTGGGGAACGTATCGTCTGAACTTAAGGTTGAATGGGTACAATCCCTAAATGGCGACTTACCTTCCACTTCGGTTGATGATCATTTCGGTTTGGATTTCATTGAAGGCCATCCATAAGTGTGAATCCATAATATTGACCTGCATCCCCTCCCGTTCACAAACCAGAGCCTCCGAAGTATCCGCCCCATATAAAGCATCCGGGTACCCCTCTCCCGTTCTGGCGATTTCTTTATCGCCATCTCTAATATTTTCCTCATCCACTGCTTGGAAATCTCGCTGTTTTCTGTCCTCGATGTGAAATATATCAGAATGTCCGAGACCTTTGTATAGTTCTTGAGCATTAACAGCTATCGACTCCTCGGTATCTGTTCCCGTTCCCTGGACACGCTTTGACGTTTTTTCTCCCAAACTTAAGTTTAAGATTTCGTCTTTGGTAAATTCCATATTTTGAGAGACTTTATTTCCTATCCCGGAAATTCCAATGTTGGATGCCGTTGGGACATTTTTCTTCTCCAAAACCATGTGGTTCGCGCTACGAACTACTTCATCTTCCTTGGTCTTTGTAATATCATTGGAGAAGTAGAATTCTCGATTTTGGTCTAATGGTGAGAAAATCTGCATGTGGTCACTATAGGCGCGATCAATTTTGCTTCTTTTTGTTGTTAGGTCTAATGGCTGAAAAAATATTTAAATTCACGAAATCTCAATTCTCACCTAACTAATATCTTTATATTTCGATTTTTAATTAAAATCCACAATATTTTCTGTTTTTTTTTTCTTCCTTTATTTTTAGTTTGATATTTCTAAAAGGATATATTAAAAATATGTCAAGATCACCTATCTTTGACATCCCGATACCCGGATTAAAATATTGAGGTGTATTAAATGAAACTGCGTCGATTTCTTACCTGTTCCATATTCTCTAGATAGTTCTAGATAAACTGCCGTTTTGCGGACTTCACACTCTCAAATGTAAGAGATATTGCATTAAAGCATAATAAATATATGACAGCAACAGAGGTGTTAATAGTCTACTGTAGAGAGAAGTGTGAAAGCCTCGACGGCGAACTTTCTCGTCAACAAGTGCCCGTACAAAGTGGTAATTACGGGAAAGGCAGGGATTTTTTTTAACAGTTTGAGGGTAGCTATATTGAATTCAATGGACATGTTTCCAGTTCTTTTGTTCGCTGGGTTAGTCGAGATTCACACCTCCGAAAGTTGCACATGAACACTATTAACGGTGTCTTAGGACACGGAATTTATGGCGAACGATCGGCCGAGGTGACAAATATGCCAGCCGAATCAAAACAGTTTTCCTAAGACAGAATGAGATTGTCCATGTTATGAGAAGAAAACGGGTGTCAGTGCGATAAAAAAAAACTTTCTTCGCTATGAACCAACCCATTTTAATTAATTTTGAATCTTTCTTCTGTGTAAGTTGTCGAGTTATCTCATGGGCATGCGTTTCAGATGACTGCGAAGGATCCGATGGCGCATGCGTTAAGGTGACAACATTTTCAATCGTAGAAAATGAAATTTCTCACCAGAGCAAAAACAATAAGTAACACATAGATAATTTTCTTTTGTTGAAGACACGAATATTTACCAAGGTGTCTGTAATGCCGGGGATTTACGTCGTTTTTGCACGTTTTTACCACAGATTGTGTGATGCCTAAATCCCTCCCTCTTTCTCTTGCTGCCAATATGTTACTGCCCTTTCTTTTATATTTAATCATTAAAGAATCTGCGAATAGTTTAGCTAGCTTGAAGATATAACTATACTTAAATAGCTCTCTAGAGTGTAGAGGGATTTGTTGTAATTTTTTGGGTAATCAAAATCTACACCTCACCGCGCCCATGCACTGATACCAAGAAATTAAAATCATTATCATTTGTACATGTATGAGGTGAACATAAAATATTTCTTGATCTTGAATACCTGAACACTGAACAGTAAACTGAGAAATTCCCGATGATGGATCTCCTTAGATGCGGACATTAGAAGCATGAAACGGAGAAGACTGTTATATACATTACATATATTTTTCAAAATTGGGACAAGGGAGTGAACACGGTCATATCATTGCATTAATTTCATATGCTGAAAATCTCACATTTTAAAAAAGACAGAAAACAAGATGATAAATAAAAGATATCGCTGACAATATCATAAAGGTATTCGTTTGCAGTATGATCATCGACAAAAGAACAACAGCACTGCGAAAGATTGATTAGTTATATGTTGTTTTACATCATATTCCAGAATTTTTCACGCATATTGAGGCATTAGCTTCAGATCTGTAGCTCACTGGTCTGAAAAAAATTGGTATAGACTACCAGAGAGCAACAGTGCCACCCAAAGGAAAAAAGGTGTATAATAATTATTCCGCATAAAAAGTTACGATCAGTTCTTAATTTAATTTCTCCAAATTCTTACCTCAGCTGCAAAAAAATATATCCTTAGACCTCTATTAACTACTAGTATTCTTGTAGTTGACATTTGCAAGAAGCACCTTGGATAGCTGCAGAGCTGTAGCTCTCTGCTTGAGAACATTCGGACAGATAAAGCAGAATTTTCTCAAGCAGAGAGCTACAGTTCTGTAGCTACACATTGGACCGAATTATCTTTCCACCCAAAATGGCAGAATAAATAGACAAAATCTTCGATGGTCTCAATTTCAGGCCCAGAAGAACTATCAACAAAGTTTAAAAGGGAGTGTTTGGTTGTGGAAAAAGTAAAAGAATAATATATGTTAGAGACACACGGTAAGTAATATTTTTAGATTGCAGTTGAATACATGGGAAATAAATCGAAATTCAGCGCAATAAATATACATCCTTTCCAAATTGATGGCATGTAGCTCTCAGGAAAAAAAAATCTGAGAGAAATATATATTTTTTCATTTATAGAAATATTAGTTATACTGCAGCTAATCGAGGCACATATACCGATGGAAGGGCTTCAAATTTAGATCTTTACTCAGGGCCATTGAGCAGTGAGGGATCTTTATCGTGCCAACGCCAACAGTGACACAGGGTCTCGGTTTTAAAGGTTCTCATCCGAGCAATTGGCGAAGGAACAGTTGCTTCCTATTTTATTTTTTTACCAGCTAAGGTCAGTCGCGGTCGTGATTTGAACACATGATCTTTGGATCACGGAGCGAGCCCTCAACCATATATTATAAGCAGATCTACAATACTGCAACATAATTTGCAGTCAGCGAATTTTTACGGAATATTAATAGGTTTAAAACACAAGAAATCAAGATGTTCTGTAATACATTACAATTATAAGTGTATAACAGCTTCTAACTTCGAGACAAATTCTATTCCAAGGATAAGGTCAGGAGATCTAAAATGTATATGTTCGTATAAAATATGAAAGCCTTAGCATTAACCATTAAATAGTAAAAAAAAAAACATGGTTAAAGTTTTCCAAAAGGAGGCCAAACCTGAAGGTCAAAGGAAAAAGGTCAAAACTGTTGGTACCCAAGGGAAGGTCTTGTCACAGTGAAATATATTAAGATAACGAACAATATTCAAATCCAAAAGTTCATCCAGAGCGGACCCCTGAAACATCAGAGGCGGGATCAGTGCTCTGAAGGAGTTCCTCTGCCGACCTGTCACACCCGCCGTGTGCTCTTTGTTACGATTGCAGGAAATAATGGAAAATCTGTCGACAATTCAGTGTGTAAATATTGGCCTAACAATCAGTATGAAAAACATCAGTCAGCGTTTGACTAAATGGTAGATTGAATTTGCTGACAAGGATATTGTATCGGCAATAAAACATACGATTTTTTTTACTTTTAACCAAACTGTTGATATTCTTGTTTCATCAACTTGTTTGTCAATAACCTCATTTAAGAAATTTTTCATACGTAGAACTTACTCTTGCGTATCGAATCAACTGAGGGATTTCAACCCTGTATGCAGATGATAATGGTATACCCGTATGCAGATGATGAGAGTATATTACTGCATAAATAAGGAAAGTTGACGGTTGAAAAATTTCCAAAAATGAAACAGATGTGCCTTTAATCTCAAGCTCACTGGAATATATTGTGTCGAAATATGACTGGAATATATCGTGTCGCAATATGAAAGCCATATAGTAGCAACCGTTCAGAAGTTATAGCCAAGACTAAAGTTTTTTTGAAAGTAGGCCAAACTCTTAGGCCAAGGTCAAAAGTTCATAATTGTTGGTACCGTACCTAAAAAAAAAAGCAAGCCCTAGTTGTAACCGTTCAAAGTGGGCCAAACTCTCAGAGAAACAAGGTTAGAAAACAAGGAAAGTTTTTCTCACAAGAAATACACATGAAGCATGAAAGCTCTAACATGTCTAATAACAGCTGTTCACAAGTTATGGCCAGGGTTAAAGTTTGGTAAAATTTTGCAAAAGTGGGTCAAACTCTAAATTAAAGAAGTCAAATATGTTGGTGCCCCAATAAAGTCTTGCCAGAAGAAATACACACGTGGAATCTGAAAGCTATAGCCCCAGCCAATCAAAAGTTATGGGCAATATTAGAGATGTTCTGACAGATCAATATCTATAGACAGACGGATTAACAGGGGGCTAAAACTATATGCCCCCTAATCTTCTATTACGAAGGCAAATGAACAAATTGTGCAAAGTAAAAAGGCGTATGTCTGTGTATAAGGGTTATTTTCACCCCGTGTTATTTTCGCCCTCTTGCAGACAATTTTGCCCCGTTTGAAATTCGCTCAGTCATAGTTTTACTTAAGAAATTATACAGTATTATTTGAATTCGCCCCGTTTTAAAATCGTCCAACTTAGGATAGGGCAAATTGGGCGAATTTAAAACGGGGCGAAATTTCCACTGTATACAGTAGTCGTATATATTTTCCCTTTATGCAGTAGCCGTCTATATAGACCAATTATATCGCATGTTTGAATTTTTGGCCATTCGACAAAAACATTCAAAACAAGTGAGTTTATTAGTCTGTGGAGACAACCAATACTATCAATCTATAACATATCCTCATGAATCCATATCTGTATGATTTAAGAAAATCTTCCAAGTGGCTCTCGAGAAAATTTTTAAGCAACTACTACTGTAAATTTGTTTTATATCCAAAATTATCTCTCTCCTTATTTAAGGGCCGCATCCCTAGTTCTTGTAGAAAGGAGAGCCGTTGGGCCAAGGGTATTGAGTGACAATTTTGACAAAAATGAAGGCGTTTTTGAGATATGACCCATATTAAAAAAAAAGTTAACGCACACCACATAAATGGCCAGAACACTTTGACTCATAACTTAGAATATAATGACAAGCAACTTTACGAAATTGCATTAATCGTATTGGCTATGACAGCTAATTACTGTTTTGTTTTAGGAGGTATGCTAGATTAACCAGCATTTTATTTTCTCTTTTATGTATATTTTACAGCAATTTTATTTACATCTTACACCAAATATTTCACAAAGATAAAAATAAACTTAATAAAAAATCATAAAAATACAGAGTTTTTTGTAGTGAAATTCAATCGGGGGCTGTTCAGTAAATAATGTCATTAGCTCGATGACTTACCACATAAAAATCATGTGACATTAAACTTGACTTTCTCTCATTGTTGAATCTTTAATGGATAGATAACAGTTTATATGACCACTTTTCATCGCATAGTTTCATTGTGGGAAGCTGGAAAACAAGGGCTATTCGAGACACTGTCTTAAAAATGAATGGTGAAGAATCGGTAAACTAGAGTTAAATTAAACGCTTCATATGGATAATACCCCCCCTTTTTTTTTAATGAAAAAAAAATGTAAGAGTGTATAATATCTCAAAAATATAAAATTTCCCCGTCGAACACATCTATATGTCGTTATATGCAAGCAGATTGTACTTTTTCTCACGTTTAAAGAATGGCCCTATTCGTAATAATAAAGTATTTTTATTATACCGAATAGGTTCGTTTGTCCACGAAGCAGCAGAGGCGTATCGATGCAATATCTACAGCAGCTGCTACAGGTGGAAGTACAGCCTACGGCGGCACATCAAAAACAGGCATGGAGGAATTCAGAGACACTGACAACCAAATATTTTTTAGACCTTAAATAAGGTGTATCTGTGATGATTTCAAATTCAATGCAATTGTACAGATTTCTCGAATAATATTTCATAGAGTTTTTATATCATTTTTTTTTTCACGCATTTACTTTTTTTGTTATGGTTAGACACAAGGTTAAATAAATAAAATAAAAAATAAATTAAAAATAAAATAAATATCTTATCTTACACAAAAAGTACATAGGCGCTTGGTTTCAGGATGGTGTATTTTGTGTATTATGTGTTTTTCTAGGTGTGTCTGAATACTCTCATAAAAATAAAAATAAAAATTCGCT